AAACACCTGCTTGCACGCACCTATCCCTTTTGCAACTGAACCGCTCCAGATCGTCTTGATTCCGTGCTCAGAATGCCTAGCATCTTCTGAAGATTTCTGACGTTGAATAGCTTCAGTGTTTATCCCTAGAAAGGGCTGAGAGTTTGGAGTGTCCCGCTTCGTCTTCTGGGACTTCTAGAGCGCTTATTGTGGAGTAAGGCATTTCTGGTGCCTGGGTCTCAAGGGGGACGCATAGCTTAGTACTTTCCAGGTGCTTGCACAATGACAAACATGGTTGAACAAGGGGTTCTGGCAGCGAGCAGGGAAGGGATGAACGGTCTTAGGTAGGAAGGAATATGAGCAGAAGCCACACAGTGAAACCCTACAAACACAACGTAGGCCCTCTCTGGCAGAGAAGCAAGTAGTGGGCGCAGTGGACACTGCCTTGGGCGTGCAGCTCTGCCTCCAGCCACCACAGGGCAAGGGCACCAGCACCCATTCTGGGCCATCCCAGGAGCCCAGGCCCTGCCAAGCTTGGAAACTAGCCACCTTCAGGCTCACTGTGAGCATGAAAAGGGTCTGTAAACCACAGCAGCGAGGGAGAAAGGAGAAATGTGGAATGTTACTGACGTGTGTGGTATTCGGACTCGCTGACAAGAAACTCAGGTCATTGGACGTCTTTTCTCAGATGAGCAGGATCTACCACCCAACGACTATTTAGGAAGAAACCCATAAACCCTGAGTGAGAGTCCACAAGGTGTAGGCACAAGCCAGGTTCCTAGCTTGCCAGTTGCTATAGCTCCCAAGTCTTCCCAAGACAGCCTCCTATCATGTGAGCCACTCAGCCTAGAACACTGCAGTACTCCCAGACCCATCCTTCAGTCTTCCTTTTAGTGTAACAGGCGGGCCTCCATCCCTCCTGCTGCTCTCCATCCCGGCTCATCTGACCTAACCCATGCTAGTAAGTTCAGGCAGGTGCCACAGCAGCAGCATTAACTTAGACTCCAGAGGTCCCTTGACCAAGGATGGAGCCCCACCTGCCATGACTGCTCCAACCTGGATGCCACTTAGCCATACATCAACACCATCTAGAAGGAATGCACTGGACCTTCCACGACATAAACTTGGCCCCAGATTCTTCAGCTTAGCAGTTAACATACCTGTATCCCATATTAAACTGCCCGGGTTTAAGTCTCTGCTCTAGTTCCTGACTTCAGCTTCCTACGCATGCAGACCCTGGGACACGGCAGTGATGGTCACATCCTTAGAACCCTGTCATCCACAGGGGAGCCACAGATGGGGCTCCCAGGCTCAGTCATCAAGGGCATTTCCAGGGTGAAATTGTGGATGTGAGCTCTCTGTTTCTCAAAAATTTTTCTTTGGCTGTCTTCATAGTCTCAGACCTCCTCCAACGAGCCCCGGCCCTCGGGATGACAACCTGAGCAGACATGTGCAAAGAGCCCCTTGTCTTTCGGCCGTAGGGGCCTGAACATCAATGACAATGTCACATATCCATCCAGGTATTATCTACTTTCCTGGGAACTTGGCCTTTAGATTACAGAGTTCTTCCCCCATTATAATATATGCCAGACTTGGCCAACCCAACGAACTAGGGAGCCTGGCTAGTTAGCACTGATGAGACAGCTGAGGAAAGTCAGGATGCACGAATCCCAAATAAGGAATAGACAGGATGAAGGAAAAAAAATTTCTGAATCCAGTGTTCTTTCATTTTCAATGCCATTTCTCAGGTATCTAGGACTAGGATAAAGAAAAGGCAGAGCAAGGAGGCAAACCACAAAACTGGGCATGAGATCTCCCCAAGTCTTCGGCCTCTGACAACCTCCAGGAGTTCAGTGTGTGGGACTAAGCACTCACTCCTATAAAGGACCCACTGTACTAAGAAGGCAAAGTTCAAGAAATTTTTAACAAGAAATGTTTGTTGACTTGAACTGCATATGAAAAACACACCTCTTAATTCTGTACCTTCTTTGAACAAGGATTTAATATAAGGAGGAAATGTTCAGGCAATACTTGTCCTGTTTACCTTGGAGCCCTTGGAGTCAGCAGTTCCGGTTTGGAATGTAGTTGTCAAGCAAGTGGGATTGATAACTTGTGAAAGCATTGAGCTATTAACGGGACAAAACCAATACACGACGAGATATCTTATCAGCATTGCCAATTCCTTTCCCCACTGTTCTGAGCCCAGAACAAAGACCAGAGTGTTGGGTTCCCATGAAAGGAGGGGAGACACGGGAAGCAGGACATGACTCGCACTCGACCCCGCAAAAGGAAGTCACTGAATTACTCTCAGAGGACGTCCCCTGGCCCGGCAGGAGGATTTGAAATTGTCCTGCAGTTCCAAGAAAGCGGTCAGTAGTGGTCTGATGTCCCAATGCTTTCTGCCTGCTTCACTCAGCACTGCCAGCCCACATGACCCTGCTTTCGTCAGCATCAGGAATATGTCTCTGGGTTTGTTCACACATGTCATATTGTCCCGTTTTAAACTCACTTGTAGATAAAACAGAAGGTGGCAATTAAGTGCAGAGGCAATAGAACACACCTAGCAAGCCAGGAGCATCCCAGACACTGGAGACACAGGGGCGAGCAACAGGGTGGTTAATCACTGCGGATCCTTGAAAAATCTCCACTTTCCAAGAGAGGAATACAGTTAGCAGTGAAACAGGCTGTAGTTGTGAACTGACTTGAAAATATCAATATGAACTTGAGAATATGTGTGTGTGTGTGTGAGAGTATAAATGTGAGTGTGTGAATGTGTGTGAGTGTGTGTGTGAACATTTCCTGTCTCCATTGAAGAAGATTTAACCAATGACCAGTAAAGGACAGAGTGTGGTCTCAGAATCACACAGCTGAGAGAATCAGAGGTTCACCGGGGCCAGTGCTGGAAATGTACAAGAGGAACCTAGAGGACATTTTCAGGCCACAGCAAGAAAACCCTTAGAGTCGCAGCAAATGATTCAAAACCCAACTGAGTCGGGTTCTGCTGAACACTTTCAGCTTTACAAGGCATAAAAATTGCAAGAGATAAAAATTCTTCAGATGGGGCCCGGCGCAGTAGCATAGTGGCTAAATTCCTCGCCTTGCAGCTGCCAGAATCCCATATGGGCACCGGTTCTAATCCCAGCTGCTCCACTTCCCATCCAGCTCCATGCTTATGGCCTGGGAAAGCAGTTGAGGACAGCTCAAGGCCTTGGGACCCTGCACCCATGTGAGAGACACAGAGGAGGCTCCTGGCTCCTGGCTTCGGATCAGCCACTTGGGGAGTGAGCCAGAGGATGGAAGACTTTTCTCTCTGTTTCTCTCACATGTACTTAAAGTCATAGACTTACAGCGTTATATTTACAAAACAGCAACAATTGAGGGCCTGCACAGCAGCTTAACGAGCACAGCTGATACCCGGAGCACCTGTCCCCCATGTGGGCAGTGGTTCAAATCTCAGTAACTCCAATTCCAATCCAGCTCCCTGCTAACGGGCCTGGAAACGCAGTGAAGAGGCCCCCGTGCTCAGACCCCTGCACACATGATGGGGACCTGGATGAGCTGCCGGCTCCTGGCTGCAGTCTGGCGCAGCCCTAGCTGTTGCTGTCATTTGGGGAGTGAACTGGAGGATGGAATATTCTGTCTCCCTCCCACCCTTCCTTTCCTCTCCAGAATTCTGCCTTTAACATAAATAATCTTTTTTTTTAATTGGCCAGTATGAGATTGAGATAAAAACGTACGTCACTCTCCTAAAAACTGATAAGGGAGTAGGCTTTTACACTGCAAGTTGAGCTGCCCTGCGTCGGAGCGCCTGCCGTAACACCTGGCTCCCATCTGGCACTCCGGCTTCCTGCTAATGTGGACGCATGAGACGGTAGTACCGCTCAGGCAGCTGACTCCCTGCCACCCACACAAGGCCCGAGTGAGTGCCAGCTCCTCCATCTGGCCCCAGTTCCTGTGTGCGCATTCAGGAAGTGAACTAATGCATGGGAGCTCTTCTTGTTTGCTGGCTCTTTCTGTTACTCTGCTCAAATAGAAGGAAGGAAGGAAGGAAGGAAGGAAGGGAGGGAGGAAGGGAGGAAGGGAGGAAGGGAGGAAGGGAGGAAGGGAGGAAGGAAGGAAGGAAGGGAGAAAGGAAGGAAGGAAGGGAGGAAGGGAGGAAGGGAGGAAGGAGGGAAGGAGGGAAGGAGCCCACATGGAAGAGTGACCACTTCCACCTGTGGTGGTCCAGGAACCTGACCTAGACACAGCAGGGGGTAGTTTTCTACAGGAATGTTCAAGAACACTTTAATGCTACCATCCCATCACCAAGCACGAGCAACTGGATCCTTGCGTAGTAATTAATCCTGAACTGAACTGGGCCAACTCCTTCTGTATGTACTTATGATGGTTCCATTAAATCAAAATACAGGACCTGACCTAACGGCTCAATTAGCATCCCATATGGGTGCCAGTTCATGTTCAGCTGTTCCCCTTCCCATCCAGCTCCTGCTTGTGGCCTGGCAGGGCAGTGGATGGTCCAAAGCCTTGGGACCCTGCACCTGCATGAGAGACCTGAAAGAAGCTCCTGGTTTCGGATCGGCTCCACTGCAGCTTTTGCAGCCATTTGGAGAGTGAACCCGCACATTTGAAAGAACTGTTTCTCTCTTCTCTGTAAATCTGCCTTTGCAATAAATAAATCTTAAAAAAAAAAAGTTAAAAATGTCAATAGGATATTAATCTCAGTGTAATCTTTTATGTTTATACTTCCTGAAATCTTACCTACCGTCTTTAATTTATTAGGAGCTAGCAAGGCAATATTTGTGATGAGTGAAAAGAAAGAATACCACATACAGTTATTTACACAATGTGATTTCCTAAAACAAAATATATTGTATTTTATACATCAAAAATATTTATATTAGCACTTAACTCCTTGAAGATAAAAATTCCTTACTCATTTTGATAGATTCATCTCTCAGAGTAGCACAGGAAGAAATGAAATGAATACACACTTGTCTACCAAAACAAGGGGACCAACCACAGTACATATGACATTTTAATGCACACGTCCAATATGTACAGAGGCCTAAAGACAAAGTCAATCTCTATTGCAAATTTTCTGGAATAACTTCATTATTACAAAGTTAAGTTCTTGAGTCAAAAATTCAACTTTAAAAATGGGCTCTAAAATCCCGTATGGACTCGATGGAGCACTGGGCGTTAACTGTCGCCCGTCGCCGCGTCTTCGCCGTCCGCAGAATAGATGGCTTGATTTCGCCTCTTGATTTTCTTTCTTTGTTCAGGCTCGTGTTCATCACTCAGTCGCTTCAATGGCCGTTCAGGTGAGTCCTTTCCATCCTCGGGCTCCTCAGCCTCCTCAAGCTTCCCCTCTCCACCAGTGAGGGAATTCAGCGTGTCATCAGAAGATACAGCCATGGATCCGGGCAAGCTCCTGATGCCAGAGAAGCTCGTAGAAAAGTCAGATGCTTGGTCAGAAGAATGCTCCGTAGACAGCGTATCCACGTTACTGTGTGCACTCACAATACTCTCCTCCCCCTCCTCGTCCTCGTCGTCCAACATGATTTCGTCTGGATTGACAGAGGACAAGGCCGACACGTCCGTGTGACACTCACTCCGGTCCTCGCCGGAGGCGTCACTGTCCACGCCCTGCTCGTCACACTCCCCGCCCGAGGGGTGCTCTTCCCGGGCCTTCTGCAGCCTGACGTTAATGTCTGTGATGCCCAGCTGGGCACAGAACTCTGTGGTCTGCGGACTGATCCTGTGGAGCAGCTGCGCTGGAGCGTGGGGCTTGCCAGGGTCGTAGCAAGCAGCGGTGACACTGAAGTTGTACGGAACTTTGAGGTCATGATTCAGTTTCTTCAATACTTCCTTCATAGCCTCGTCTGTCGCACTATAATCCCACCTGTAAAAATCCAAAACACTTCTTACGTTTTGTCACCCTCACACAGGAAATAAAGAAATATTCTATATTCTAAGGTGAACCATAGCAGCCAGTGGATTCTGGGGAGATTTCATCGCGGTTGGAGTGGAGGGAACAACAGCAATTCAGAACTGCTGAGCTATCAAAACCTCTTGAGAACTTCACGGCGCTGTAAATTTCTATTTTTTTTTTCTGTTGTTAATTTTGTATTGTGGCTTTTCATTTCAGGGAATGTATAGTAACTGTGTCATGGAGACTGTCATATCCAGATGTGAGGCTACAATGCAGTATGCGTCTCTGCTTCCAGATCAAAGATGGACTCCCAATGGGACTACTGAATGTATCTTGACAACAGGATGCTGGACTCTGCCATTATCCACACCCACAGTGTCAGGATACACTAAAACAGCGGAAGGATGGACTTATGACTGTTCATCAAGGACTACACATTGTAACAATAAAGGGTGTTGGGAGGGAATTTGGGAAAGGAAGAGGGGAAATCCAAGTTCCTATGGAACTGTATCATAAAATAATAACTTTAAAATGACTTTTAAAAAGTGAAAAGGAAGGAAGGAAGGAAGGTCGGTCGATCCCACTGCCCTCCCGGGGTCCGTACCAGCAGGGTAAGCTAACTTCAGCAGCAGGAGGCGGTGTCTACCTGCAGGACCCTCCCACCCGGGTCTGCACAAGTCAACTCCCACATCTGCAAGAAAAGGCTGGAGCCAAAAGTGCGCAGGTGTGTACTTCACAACTCGAGGACAAGCCCACACGCCACACACCTCGCATGCAGGCCGTTATCCTGAGGCATGTTCCACTGCCTTCCAGTCACGTTCACGAGCTCATCGGTGGCCCTGAGCACAGCCAGCCACTCGACGTCATACTCCAAGACAGGAGCCGCGCTCGGGTCATGCTCTATCTCCAAGACCTACAGCAAGAGGACAGCATCTTAAAGAAATATGTCTAACAGGTTAAAAATTTAACATAATAAAAGCAGAAATTCCAACTTAATTTTAAATGAATTTTGAAACATTGCTACAACTCAAGCATCCCCAAAAGACTGTCAAAATACAAAAATTACGAAGGACATGCAAATTATGAAACACTGAAAACACATTTTTAATCTACGAGAGATAGAACTGCATTGCAAAGCTGTTTCATTTCTGATTTACCTGGAGAAAGTCTCTATGTGGTAAGCATTTGTCCAAGGCTAAAAATCTGGTCGATCTGGCTGGCTGTCCTTGATCCTTGGCCTACACAACATGAACAAGGATTTAAGACTGTTATAACAGTACAGGTCATCTCTATCCTGAAGAGGGCAGAAGCAATGCCCCCTGCACATGTCCTAAGGACACAGGCCTGAGTGTTCCATTTCCTCAGTGGGTTGGTTCCAAACCTATTTGTGCAACGAGTAAAGCACTCAGCCTCTCCAGGCTTAAACTTCTCTACTGGGCAAGCACTTCCTGCCACGTCACCAGGAGTCAACACGACTTACCCTTGAAACAAAATCCTATCCAGCAACAAAAAGAATGAGACATGGACCCTGAACACCACATGAGCAAACGTCAAAAACAAGGGAATGAAATAAATCAGACAGAGAAGACTCTATGATTTGTTGTTTCTCTTCTATGCACATGCATAAAGGGCGAATCTATACACACACGGAGCCCATCAGTGGTGGCCTGGGGCTGAACAAGGTTAACTGCAAACCCACAAAGCACATGTCTGGGGTGGACCTGTTCCAAAACTTCACTACACAACTTCACTGAACTGACAAACACAAGGAGAGAGATCACAAATACAAGCCAATGGAAGGAGTGACCAAAAACTCCTGGAAAACAGGGAGGCTCCTGGAGGGCAAAGCTAGGCTGGCCGTGCTGAGGCCGCACTCCCAGCGGAGGCCCGGGGAGGGTCAGAGGAAAACGGAGAAGCGCTGTTAGCACAGGGGACTGAAACAGCGCACGGACAAAGCCAGAGGGGGGTGCGTGAGGACCATGCACGGCAGCGCTCGCTCAAGGGGGCTGCAGGCGCTGCCTATCTCCTCCCACACCTGAGGAAGGCATGCATGATTCCCAGGAATTCTACCAATGTGTCCAAGGAGAAAGCTCTTCATTTTGTGAACCCAGCTTTTCCTACACGTTCCCCTACGAATACTTCACGGGAAAGTCAGAGATCAGCCAATGTTAGAGAGGAAAGAACTTCATGTTCCAACAGAAGACTTAGTACCCAAGAACACTCCCTACCTTCCTTCATGCACCTGCCCCCAAGATGTTCCTGGAACTTATCCTGCACCCCACCCATCCCTGAACTCGCTGAGACCTGACTAATCCGCTCCCAATGCTTCCACAGGTCCTACTTCGTTCTCTGTGTTCTTTCTGCTTTAGTGTGGACCCTCTCTGGCCTCATCAGTCTCCTCTGCTATGTCCCTTTCACTTGGCTTCACCTCTCACAAAGTAACAACCAAACTGCAGGCAAAGGCCCAGCAGGCAGTTACAATCTTTAGCTTCCTGTCCCCAAGGCTCAGCACAGTTCCCCGGATGCACACTCTCTGGCCTCTAGCCTTTGAAAGGCTCATCTCACCTCAAATATCATTCTGACACTTCAAGACAAGACTCAGTTTAGCCATGTATTCCTTTGGAAAAGCTGCCCTCTCTCTACTCCTCTGCCTGCATCCCCATCCAAGCAGCCTGACTTTGGTGCCCAGCACATCCCAGCACTGTTCAGCAGCTGTTTGCCCCCAACCTGGCGCTGCCCACCGAGCCGCTCGGAAGGGTCATCTAACTCGAGAACTGAGCCAGACACGCCCAGCCCCTGGTGTCACCTTGCTTTCTACCTTGTGCAGCATCACGGCGGCGAACTTCACGTGCAGGTGCGCGGAGAACCAGTACGCGGGCTTCAGGTGCTCCAGGAGCTCAGACGCGGCGGGGCTCCCCAGCGTGTTATTTTCTACTTCTTGCCGGAAAAATGATTTAGCCTTAAGAAGTTGCTTCTTATTTCCATAATGATATATACTTCTTGGCCAGTCATGAGATAAGAATATATCCACAGGCTGCTTTAGCTTAAAACCAAACAGGAGAACAAACCTGTTAACCAGAGCAACTCCTTCCCCCTCATCTCCACTGCTAAACAACTAGTCACTCCCCCAGACTTCCAGATTCCCGGTCATTCATTCTAAGGGTACTCTATCATAAACAACGCCAGGCTGTCCACGACGCAGACAAAGCAGCGGCTCTCTGTCTTAGCAATCATCCGTGCTGTCTGCGTCAAGGCAGGACCACGGCGGCACAGTGAATCAGAACGCCATCAGCCAGGACCTTCAGGAGCACGCTTGGTAAAGAAACGACTACCCCAAAGATTGAGAATATCAGGTTTTATGAGGTTTCTAATATTTGTAAACTCAAAGATTTAGAGAAAATATTAATTCGAATGAGTTTACATAATGAACATTTCAACAGGGACGCTGTTTGGCACAGGACTTCAGCCGTGCATCCTGGGATGTCCACAGCACACACAGACGACCGGGCTGCACCCGGAGTCCCTCCTGGCATGTCCACAGCACACACGGAGGACGGGGCTGCACCCGGAGTCCCTCCTGGTGCCTCCGCCATCGACCCTGCCCTAGGCAGGTGGAGACCTTGTGTGACCACCAGCTTCTCAGCCTGCAAGTGTGACATTACCGGAAGACCTAGCTTGCAGACTTGGTGGGAATTACATAAAACATGTGGGAGGACATCTTGGCTCTGTGTCAGCAACGTGTGGGTCCTCAAGCCCAAAGCTAGCTCACCTGCTCCATAATCCTGCCGGTGTACCAACACCGCTGCCATAGTCCCCACACCCGCCATCAGCTTTCTACTTAAGATTGGTTTCTACTAGCATTTAAAACATCTTTCATATTTTCTTGAAAGTATCCTTTATTTCAATATACCCTAAACAATAATATTGGAAACATTAGCTTTACCCTAAGCAATAATATTGGAAATCACAAATTAAGCATTTATTACTCAATAAAATAAACTCATGGAGAAGGCATACGGCCCAATGTTCGAGTCAGCAGTAATATACCTGTTTCAATTTATAGACTTCAATATTTCTCACGTGATATATACTTCTTATCGTAGATGAATTATAAGGGGGGCATTCAAAATGACCTTAAATAGAGAAAGAGAAAACAGGTTATACTTACTTCCTTAAATATTGTATGTGTAAATACACAAAATACACAGTGCAAAATACAAATTAAAGTTTATCATCAAGGTTTTGGCTCTTAAAAGTTTTATAAAACTACTGCCCTGGAGATAATAATATTTTCTCCTGATAAGAGATCATAAACTTTAAATAATCAAGAGGTTATTTTGAAAATTAAATCTTATCAAATATTGAAATATGCTATATTTCATATGATTTAAAAATTTTAAGAAGTAGGGGATTCAGTGTGGTAGCCTAGTGACTAAACTCCTTGCTTTGCACACGCTGGGAGCCCACATGGGCGCTGGCTGGCAGCCCTGCTTCCGATCCAGCTCCCTGCTTGTGGCCTGGGAAAGCAGTGGAGGACAGCCCAAAGCCTTGGGACCTTGTACCCACATGGGAGACCTGGAAGAAGCTCCTGGCTCTTGGCTTTGGATTAGCCTAGCTCTGGCTGTTGTTGCCAAACAGCTGTGGCATCCCCCATATCCTTTTACCGGCTGTGTAAAACACTTCCTACAATGTTTTTAGAAAGATTTATTTCACTTTTATTGGGAAGCCATATATACAGACAGGAGGAAAGACAGAGAGGAAGATCTTCTGGCCGATGGTTCACTCCCCTTGCAGCCACAATGGCCAGAGCTGCGCTGATGCGAAGCAAGAAACCCAGAGCCCAGATGGGGAATGGAGCAGCTGGGACACGAACCGGCACCTGTGGGAACGACCCCGGCACGTGCAAGGGTTCATGGCTTTGCACCCTACACTCACAAGGGGACAAGAAAGAAGCTCCTTCTTCAGATCAGCTCAGCTCTGGCACTGCAGCCACTTGGGGAGTGAACCAGCAGGTGGAAGATCTCCCCTTCTATCTTTTCTTCTCTCTGAAAATCTGTCTTTCCAATAAAAATCAACAAATACTTTTTAAAAAAATTCAAAATTAAAAAAAGCAGAATATACATAATATTCTCTGTATTTCCACATGCTTAAAATATTTTGTAATAAAATTAACAGTGAAATAGCCCACAGAAGAACTCGCTGAAAAAAAGTCAGACTTGCATTACACACTTGTTACTCCGAGACATTCAGCTCTCGAGGAGGTGCAGTGGTCCGCGGGGTGCAGCCACTGCAGGTCAGCCTCCCACCCTCCTGGGGGCCGGCTCACACAGCAGCTGCTCCGCTTCTTCTCCAGCTCCCTGCCAACGTGCTGGGGAGGCCTGGGACCCTGCCCCGACCAGGGTGAGGGATGAATTCCCAGACCCCCGGGCCGCAGCCCGACCTGCTGCTGGCTGTTACTGCCACTCAGGGAACGAACCAGTGCGTGGAAGAGTCTGTCTCCCCCTCACTCTGGGTAACTCTGACTTGTAAATAAATAAATAAAACAAGAAAAAAAAAGGTAAAGCTAGACAATACCTTTGCGATAGTCATGAGATTTGAAGATTCCTGAGAGTCCACCAATCCGCACCCCTCGGTACTTCACCACACCAGCCAGACCTGAGCAATCACACCAGAAAATAAAATGACCACAGGCTGAAGCAATCTCCTTACTGAATAAACCACTGGATCCCGGATTCCCACGTACTGCTAGAATTATGTGAAAACCAGGTTTCACAATAGAGTTACATTCTTTTTCCTTAAGCACAGTAATATGCTAACAATAGGTGAAGCAGACAAAAATGCACGCAGATCAGCTAAGAGGTCAGCTGGATTCCGGAAGAACCAAGAACTAAAACATGGAAAGGTAAGCAGACACACTGCATCCGGTTAGACCGGGAGCCAGGCAGTGCGGGAGCCAGGCAGTGCGGGAGCCAGGCAGTGCGGGAGCAGAGCTGGGGCCAGTGTTCTAGAACGGAAGTGTACATGAGCAATTTGTCAGTAAGCATGAAGCACGCGGGAGTTTTCCTTGATTTCTTCCCCGATTATTTTGTGACAATTTTCTTTTCATAGTGTTGTACTTGTCCCACAGCAACCCATCAGCAATGAAACAAAGGAACTAAATTTTAAAGTAGTTACTTCACATTGAAAAAAATCTATAAATGGTTCCAAAAGGAGAAAAGGAGCGGGCAGTTTGGGAAGGCTAATCGGGCTCCTAACCCCAAACGCAGCTGGCAGGATGTGAAGGGGCACAAGGGAACCTTTCCACAGGGCCACACACCACAGACTTCTCATTTGTTCATCAAATACATGAAGTTAAAAAGAGACCAATACAGTCTGAGACATCAGCGTGCCGGCCAGCAGGTGCAATGTGAGGACCTCAGCTGGGTCCTGTCTGAGCCGTCTACGTTTTTGTAACAGGGAAATTTGAACGTAAACACCAGAATAAGGAAACATTGTTACTTTCATTAAGTATAATAGTTTCAATAACTAACTAGTTACTAGTGACTTCCAGTCTTCATATTTAGCTACTCCAGTTAACAACATTCCAAAAGCTACTGCCCAACACAAATCCTCAAGGACTTTTCATCTCACGAAAAAAAAAGCAGCATCACCCAGAAGCACTTACCCAAGTAATAAATGTTGGGCGCCACCCAGCCGCCATAGGGTAACTCCTGCAAATGATTGGAGGCCTCATGGTTACCCCCGATGAAAATCGTGAGAACTGGGGCCTTCTTCTCTCCCGAGTAATACCTAGAGTGCAAGGGCGGAGTTGTGTGTTACCATAGTGACAACGCCGCGAGGGAAAAGGCTCCGGATGCGTTGAAAGCACCTGCTGGAGCCACTGCCCCAAACGCACTCCGGTCCTGAAGAGGCAGATGCTCTAAACAGACACGCAAGCCAAACACGAGGGAGGGGCTCGGCCACTTCGGACTCGGAGTTCTGTTCTTTCTAGAAGCAGCTCGCACACACCAGACGCCCAGGAAGACCTGTGCATGATTTAGGGGGCTAACCCTGCCGCCCAGAGCAAGTGGGTATCTCAGCCTAGGGGGGCGTCTTCCTGCAGGGTTGCCCTCGGCTGCCGCCGCACCTCCACCCCCAGGAACCCGACCGGGCAGGCGCATGCAAAGCAGCAAAGACATTTCCCAGGCGCCCGGGCGGGGAAGCCGCGGCTCGGCCGCTCTCACCTGTAGAAGGTCTGCATGTGGCGGTACTTGGGCGGCACCGCCATGCAGCGCAGGTCGGCCTCGTTGCGCACCGCCTGGAAGTCGCCGCAGCACAGCAGCAGGTCGACGGGCCCCGGGCCGCGCCGCTCGGCCAGCGCCAGCGTCTCGTAGATCTTGTCCAGCTCGCCGTGGCAGCAGCCGGCCACGGCCACCCGCATGCTGACTCCGGGCCGCGCTCCGCCGCCCGCCCGCTCGGCTCCCGCCGCCCCGAGGCCGCAGCGCCCGCCACACTTCCGCTTCCCGAGTCTCGCGAGAGCGGGCTGGGACGCGCGGGACGCGGCCTTCCCGCCCGGGCGCCTGCTCAGAGCCTGTCAGTCGGATCCTGTCAGCCGCTGTCAGCCGGGCCTGTCAGCCGCAGCCTTCCTGTCAGCAGGATCCCGTCAGCCCAGCCGGATCCCGTCAGCCCAGCCAGATCCCGTCAGCCGGATCCCGTCAGCCCAGCCAGATCCCGTCAGCCGGATCCCGTCAGCCCAGCCGGATCCCGTCAGCCGGATCCCGTCAGCCGGGCCTGTCAGCCGGATCCCGTCAGCCGCTGTCAGCCGGATCCCGTCAGCCGGGCCTGTCAGCCGCAGCCTGTCAGCCGGGCCTGTCTCAGTCGGACAACAGGCTGGGAAGGCGGGACAGTCAGTCGCCTGACATAGGGATGCACCTTCCGCAGTTTAAGCTGAGGCGAACAGATGGGTGGAGCTGACTTCCCAGGGCGAGCCTCTCCTGGCAGAACTAGTGCCTGAATATGAGCAAAAGAAATTAAAGATCTTGAGCCCGGTGCGATGTCCTCATGGCTAAATCCTCGCCTTGCGACTGCCGGGGTCCCATGTGGGTGCTGGCTAGTGTCCCGGCGGCCCCGCTCCCCTTCCAGCTCCCTGCCTGTGGCCTGGGAAAGCAGTCGAGGATGGCCCAAAGCTTTGGGACCCTGCACCCGCGTGGGAGACCCGGAAGAGGCTCCTGGCTTCGGATCGGCATAGTATTGGCCCTTTGCGCTCACTTAGGGAGTGAATCATCGGACGGAAGATCTTCCTCTCTGTCTCTCCTCTCTGCATATCTGCCTTTCCAATAAAAAATAATAAAAATAAATCTTTTTTTAAAAACCTGCCTTTCCAATAAAAATAAATGAATCTTTAAAAAAATACTTTAAAAAGATGATCGAACTAAGACAATACAGAGAATAATAAAAGGCATATCTTTTAAAACCTCGATAAACGGTGTTCAAGGAATGAAGACATTGAAGCAAACCTGTAAACAAAACGGCGACAGTAGATGGCACTGGGGACGTTGTCCAAGATAGGACATTGCACGAAGTGATTTTTTGAGCAAATTCTCTCAAACTTACAAGATCTAATTGTTGCAAGGTGCGAGCAAGATCACACCAGACATGCCTAAGGTTTATTAAGGAGTCCATTAACCAAGCTTGGTGACCACAGAGCACACTAGAAGCAGCAAAGCACAGGTCCACTCGGCCAGCCAGTCGGTCGTCACCCCAAGAGGAACAAACGGTCATACCCCCAAGTCCATCCGTTACTCCGAAGACCTACGTCCCAGCTTCCCCAGAATGCAAGTCATCCTGAGAGACGTGTAATGAATAACCCGGACACACTTCCCACGCTGCAGACATTCACCTTTCCCTGGCTTCTCTGCCCACACTCCACTCCTGCCAGGCCGCCCCTCTCCTGGGACTCCTGAGAGCCGCAAACCAGAAATAAAGCAGCTTAGCATTGCTGTCTTCACTGTCCCGCCCAAGCAGTGAACACAGGGGAATACAGACCCACGGGCCACGCTCAGGGGATGCCTGACCTCACATCTGTCCGTGGGAAGCCAGAGAGCAAGCAGGCACTGGCGAGGCCAAGGGTCGGAAAGCCAGAGCGATGGAGCAGGGGCGAGAGGCAAGCCCTTCTCTAGCATTAGCCCTCCAGTGCAATACCACTGTCTCTCAGGGGCCAGTTGAGTCACAGGTGGGCAGGAGGGAGCAGGTGTGGGGGAGTGACTTCCAAGCTCCTGACCCTGAACTGGCCGCCTGCCTCACCACAATGATCTCTGTGATATTTAAATAGATCAAGAAAGTAGAAAAATAGAAATTACTATTTCCCCATCAGTTTTTAATCACTTTCTCACTAGATTTTTTAATGGCATCAGAACAAAATTGTTTTATTACAGTATTGTTAAATTTAACATTTCTCACTTCGTTTTTACTTTACAAGAATTATTTTCTCCTGGATTTTTTGTGTAAAAAAAAGTCATTGAGTCGTAACACAGAGCAGTGGAAACACATCTTACGTGTGCGGTTTGGTGGATACGTGTGATCACCCGTCAGATCTTCCCTGGGAAGACATGAACTACATCCACAGCTCAGACTGCCTCGGGCTTCCTGACGGCACTGCTCAACACCAAAGCGTTGTCGGCAGCTCGGTCGCTGTGGGCAGCTTTGCTGGGTGGCAGACATCAGGTGGGGATGGAGCCATCTCCATACTGTCGCTGTCCCGCAGCGGCGGACTTGGTGCACGGAGCCGAGAATGACACGCGTGGACCCTGACGCGTGTCAAAGCCGAAGTCTATTAGTGGCGTCAGACTTTGTGCACGAGGGCCTGTGGGGTAAGGGAGGAAGCACTGAGCATCAGCAGAGCCCAGTAACAGTGCCTATGCTTGTCTGGAACTCCTTTTGTCTCGTATATTCCACCGAGTGTTCTCACACACATACTGTCCGTCCAACTGTTCTTATACCAATGATATCCAGTCAGTTACACGAAAGGTGGCCATCCGGTTGTTCTCGTGCCAATGTTAGCCAATCAGCTGTGATCCTGTGCGCGCTGACCTTCTAGGGTCACAGGGTCCTCCCAGACACACGCTCAAGAACATTAGATGTCGTCTGATTTTACTCACTCTGTTGCGTGGGTGATGACAGAGTCTTGTGATTCCCAGCCAGGTTTTATAATTGATGTTTTACTTATCTGCTAGTTTGAATTTTTGTGACCACTAGGAAAATACTGAAATACTGAAATATAATCAAATACTGAAAATTAATTGCCCGACATTATTAACAGGGGTACAGTAATGTATCATGGCTCAGTTCCTAAATATATTCCCATTCCAAACCCCAGTGCCACAGGCTGGATCAGTAACTCAACAAACTCAACAAACTCTGATTTTCTGAAATGCAGTGGAGCCACCGGGTTATGATCCAGCAGCCGTATGGGATCCCAGCACGTGCAAGGTGAGGACTTTAGCCACGAGGCTACCATGCTGGGCTCTATTTTTATTTTTTAACTAAGGTTTCTTCAAAGGGATAAATATTGATTGATTTGTAGTTAACTGTTTTTTATCCAGGCGAAGACAGGGAATGTGACTGAAATCTGTTAATTGGGTTTTGTTTTGACATAACTCAGGTATGTGTATTATTTTCTTCCTGTGTTTCTCTGAAAGCCAAACTGACATCTTTTCAGAAGAAAACATATTTTTATAAAAGCAAGGGAGTGAGCAACGGGAAGACCCAAGCATTGCGGCATTTACGTTCATTTTTAATTGTTACAAACATCGAGTGAGACATTCATTCTCGTTATTTATCATCCGTCTTCGATCCACGTGCTCCTGGCTCCTACAGCCAGTGCGGGGCAGCACACACTGCAAGGGAGCTGGGAGGCAAGAGCCACGCAAACCCCGAGGTGCTGAGCAGGTGTGCTTGAGGGTTCAGACTGCTGTGGTCCATCTCATCTCTGAATTTTAAACTTAGCACACTCCACACCTCGTAAAAATTTTTTATTTCATCAGCGGGGGAAAAATCAAGTAATATCACTTTACAGGTTTGTGACTCCTGAAATCTATGCCACTAGGCTACCACGCTGGGCCCAGTTTCCCCATTTTGAAAAAAAAAAATGCCTGATGTGGTTCCCCCATCCACAGGGGGTCAGTGTGAGACAGGCTTTACCGCCTGAGCTATCCAGAAGACACTGGAGTCATCTGAAGACCAGCTGATTCCGGAGGGTCATTTTTGTCTCAGTGATGGTTTTGCAATTCCTGCCAGTGTTTCTAAGTCTGGAGATGTGGTATCTGCATGGATCCATTTGAGAGTATGTCGGGCTCGGTGTGGCATCACACTTAGGCTTTTGTCTGTTTTGATGTTTCAAATCAGAGCTGAGTGTCAGCCCACCAGAACTTTTTAAGACCCCAATCTTGTGAGGCTTTTTCCCCAAGTGCTCTTGGGACCACAAACCAACTCGTTTATCACCCACATTGCAATGACTTATTCACTTCTCTCTTAAACTCTTGTCTGAAAAGTCTGTGGAAAAAATAGCAGATCCGGGCCTGGCACAAGTAGCCTAGTGGCTAAAGTCCTTGCCTTTCACCCACAGGGATCCATATGGGCGCTGGTTTGTGTCCTGGCTGCTCCACTTCCCATCCAGCTCCCTGCCTGTGGCCCCGGGAAAGCAGTCGAGGACAATCCAAAGCCTTGGGACCCTGCACCTGCGCGGGAGACTCAGAAGAAATTCCTGGATCCTGGCTTCAGATCGGCATAGCATCGGCTGTTGCGCTTGTTTGGGGAGTGACTCATTGGACGAAAGATCTTCCTCTCTGTCTCTCCTCCTCTCTGTATATCTGACTTTCCAATAAATAAAGAAATCTTAATAAATAAATAAATAAAAACATTTTTTCAACATCTGCCTATTTCTGCTTTGTACATATATGAGTTTTTACCCTCTGTACACCTGCTGGGTTACTGACGAATTGTTTCCCATTGCAAAGCCCTGCACTTCCCCCAGTTGACTGGTTGCTTAGGTAAAAGCTTAGCTGATTGCTAAGTGATCAGCCAGGGAGAAGCCTGCCAGGCCCCCTGGGGCCCTCGAAGAGGTGGAAAGGACTTTGGAACCAAAGAGCGGTGCTAGAGCTGAGTCAGCCTCTCACTCCCCAAGCCCTGTAAAGAAATGGTTGACCCTCTCGCCGTCTGTCTTCTCTTCCTGTCCGCTGACAGCAGGGGGCGATGTTGACTGCGCTTTACCGCCCTGGCTCAGCGTGTGCGCGCAGTCACCGCTGGTCCAACCGCACTAGGTCAACTCTACATGCTTTCAGTGCATTTTCTTTTCCTTTAATGTCTTTCTTCTATTTTCTTACTTTTAAAACATTCTTCCAAGTTTTGGGGGGGAGCATTCAGATTTTGAGTTACACCTGTATTTCTACACATTAAGCTGCTTTGCATAGACATGTTTGCATTAAAATAATATGGCTCCCTGCTCCCCACTTCTGGCAATTCTACATGACAACTAGCATGCCTTTCAGGTTTGTTTTGTTTTTTAATGAATGCTGCCCCAAGGCACTTACAGCTCTCCTTCCTAGGCCACGATGTTCCCTCTCCTCAAAACAGTGTCAAATTGCCTTTTTAAAACTAAGTTTTAAAAACATAGGTTTTATTTTTATGTGAAAGGACAAAATTGCAGAGAGAGGAGGTGAGACACGGGGAGATCTTCCACCCGCTGGTTCACCTGGCCGGAGCTTTGGGAAAGCCTCAGCCGGGCTGGGAGTGGTGGCCTAAAGCGCCAGTCACAGATGGAGATAATGAGATGCTTTCTCAATGTCCCCCAGAGGCGACCTCCATCAGGGACACTCACTGGTGTTGCCTCTTTTCTCTCCTCCTGACCTACCCTTGTTGTTCCCAGCAGGAACTTCCTGAGTAACTACGGGTACTCCCATCTTCATCCAAGCCGCAGTCACTCCCTAAGTGACTGTGCTAGGTGGGCACTGAGAAGAAAAACCAAAACCAAAACCAAACAAAATGAGTCATATATTACTAGTACCTGCCCTGAAGTGCATGATGAAACAAACAAAGTCACACACACCAGAAAACCAACCTTGCAAATTGCAGTCTACACACGGGGGGGGGGGGGGTCCTATGTGGCAGTGTTAACCCATTAAAAAAGTTTATCCTCATTCTAAATTATAATATTCCTGTTAAATCAAATTGGTTGTACTCTTTTTTTAAGGATTTATTTATATTGAAAAGTGAGCTATATTATACAGAGATTAGAGGCAGAGAGGAAGATCTTCTATCCGCTGATTCACTCCCCAAGTGGCTGCAAAGGGCCAGAGTTGAGTTGATTCGAAGCCAGGATCCCGGAGCTTCTTCAGGGTCTTCCACGTGGGCGCAGGACACGAACTGGCACCCATATAGGATGCTATCACTTGTAGGCAGAGGATTACTCAGTTGCGCCATTGTGCCATTCCCTGACACTGATTGAATAATAATACCTGAATGTAGACGGGTGACAACTGCATGAAGTGGTTGCAGACTACTGAAGCTTGGGGAGTGACTGAGACTCTTGCCTCCTAGCAACTCGACATTCCATGCAGGAACACAAACGCATAAACAGGGGTGGTATAGGCGACCATAAGCTTAGAATCCAGGGACAGGAGGAAGGACAGCAGAGAGGGGCAAGGTGGAGGAAGGACGGCAGAGAGGGGCAAGGTGGAGGAAGGACAGCAGAGAGGAGCAAGGTGGAGAAGTCCCAGCTGCAAGTCCCAGCTGTAAAGCTTTTGCTCTGGTCCAGGGGGCAGGAAGTAACAGCCTGAATCCCTGAAGAAATGGAAGGAGGACAGATAATGTAACAGGCTGCTTGAAACCATCTTGTTTAAGTGTGGCTGTTGAAGAGTAACACGAAGGTGAAACTGGCCGTGGAGGGTGGTGGTGTAAACAGGCAGCCGCCAGGCGAGCTAACACAGCTGGGGAAGGAAAGCAGAAATCCTCATAAAGGACAACCAGGAGCCCCAATGACCAGGGAGCGTCAGCATGGAATCTTCTGGTAGTTAGCTGCGCCCTTTCTCCCACTTTAAAAATGGGAGAAAGTTACCAGGTGACTGTATAAAGCTTTCTAAGTCTCAGCCAAGTCCTAAGTACTCTAAGTTTATTGACCCCTTGTTGTGAAGCTTTATTTCCCACCAAGGAAACCGAAACCCAAGGTTAAGCAACTTGCCAGAGGCAATGCAGCTAGCTGATAAGAGGCAGGACTACACCCTGGGGCTCTGGGTCTACTTACCTATTCCCTTCTTAAGTGCTTATTTCCACTTCACTCACTTATTATAACTTACTGTTTTTTTAAATTTAACCTATTCTTTTTGTTTTAAATTGAAAAGTTCATTTTTATTTATTTTTAAAGATTTATTTATTTATTATTGGAAAATTAGACATACAGAGGGGAGGAGAGACAGAGAGGAAGATCTTCCTCTTCACTCCCCAAGCAGCTGCAATGGCCAGAGCCGAGCGATCTGAAGCCAGGAGCCAGGAGCTTCTTCCATGTCTCCCATGTGGGTGCAGGATCCCAAGGCTTTGGACTATTCTTAACCCTCTACCAGAATAAAAAGGTCGAACACACAACGCTAAAGCAGGTCATGCTTCACGCTTAAGTGCGGAACATTTGCTCTTCATGGAAGATTTTGGTTCTAAGACGACACCCTCTCCGCCTGTAGCGATCACGGCCAAGCGGGGAGTCTGCTGCACGCGAGGCTCCCCACGGTGAACTGCCAGGTTCCCGGCCGGGGAGCCCCGCCCACCGCGCCCCGCCCCGCCCACCGCTCACTGCCCCGCCCACCGCGCCCCGCCCCGCCCCGCCCACCGCGCCAGGCCGTGGCGCCGGTGGCCGCTCTGCGCATGCGGAAGCGGCCGCCGGCTCCCAGCTCTCCGCCTGGCGGGGAGTAGCTGGTGTTTCTGAGAGGACGATTCGCAAGGCGGGCCCTGGCACGGTTCCCCGCGGGCAGTCCTCGGTGCGGGTCCTTCTCGCGCTCGAGCGGCGTCCGGAGCGCGGCCCAGTCCCGTCTTGCTGCCCGACGGTGTGCGGAGGGGCCCGCGGCGGCCGCCAGTTGGCTGTCGAAAGTGCCGGCCCCCGCGCCGGCGCCGGCAGCCGCCGGGTGGGAAGGCTCAAGATGGCGTGCCTGTTAGAGACCCCAATCCGCATGAGCGTCCTCTCGGTGAGTGCGTGAGAGGCGCTGCGGCCGCCGCCCGGCTGCCCGGCCCGCACGGTCCCTCCACCCGCGCCGCGTGGGCCCCGGGCACCAGCCGCCGAGGGGCCGCCCGCTCCGCCGCGGGCGCCGGCCGAGCCCCCCGAGACGCCTGCCGCCCGCGGCCGCTCCGTCGCCGGCGTGCAGGCCCGCGGGGCCCCGGGCCGGGGCGCGTCCACCCCGGGCCGGCCGCGCTCCAGGTCGGGGCTGGCCGTGGCGACCCCGCCGTGGGCGGAGCTCGGCGTTCTGCGGCCGGCCCCGGGCCGAGCGCGGCGTCCCGCACCTGTCCGCTCTCGGGGCTCAGCTGTCGGAGGGGGCGACCTGCCCGTTCTGTTGTGGAATTAGAGAGACGGCTTTATGTGTTCCGTTCCCGTGTCCTCGCAAGGACCACGATGGGAGAGGACCTCGCGGCTTGCGGCGTGTCTCAGCTGCCTGGCTGGGGCCGAGTGCGGGGCAGCGCGGGCCAGGGCCGCCCGCCGCAGTCCACCGGGGCCTGCGAGGGCCAGGGAGTTCCTCTTGTCTCCCCAGCTTCGCCCCACTCGCCTTTCTCAGAACCGCTGAAACATTTCCTTGAGTTCGGGTCACAGCCACGTGGGCGCCTGCAGCGCAGGGTCTGACAGTGTTTGGAGGCGGTCAGCAGTGTGGAGGCTGGACCGTCCAGCAGCTCTGACATTGGCAGTGCGGTCAACCCGAGGCCTGAATCCATCAGCCTGTTAGGACTGCTCGACTGTAAGACCAGGCGGGTCGGCGACCGGCCTCGTTGCCTGTGTGCTAAGTTGGTCTTGCTTGTTAATTCCTCTTTAATGATCTCATTTACGTCGTTAAGTCAGTTCACTTGAAGCTTCTTTATGTAAATTATCAACTTGCATATGCATACTATCGGGATGTTTCATTTGTTTCACTTCCTCAGTCAAGGTTTCCTGCTCACTTGACTAGTTGGGATTTGCTTCTGCCCTACTCAGGGTTTTCTCAGTCCAAGAGCCTTGGACTTGGATAAATGATTTAGGCTACCTTCCCATCGGTGACGGCTGTCCCCTTCTTGGTACTTCCCTGCAGGAGGAACAGGAGACGGCAATCAGAGATGATCTTGAGTGGTTGAGTCCTCTGTGGAATTTCTTACCGTGTACCAGTTACACGCAGAGCCCCGTGTTGTGTGTGTTAAAGTCCACAAGGATGAGACTGGAAGTGCCTGATGAACTTAGGCTGAGGGACGGTGGCTTGGTGGGCGTAGCTGGACTGAGGGGAAGTCGGCTTGTTTTAAAGATTTCCTTGGTAGGCTCTTGGTGTCTGCTTGCAGTGCCTCATTCACTCTGACCGATCCCTGGAGGTAGCTTCGTCCCTCTCCACGCTCCCTCCCGCATACTCCCAGGTTGTGGGGCTGTCGCTCACCTGTGGCTCCCCGTCACTGCCTCGTGACACGTTCCTCCTGCCCGGGTCCTCATGGCTTGCCAGTGTCTGATGCGGTGCTTCGCTGGGAGACCCCTGAGCCATCCTGGCCTTTCCCCTCTCGTGTCCCTGGATGTAGTCGGTCCTTAAGCCGAGTGACGTCACATCTTGCCGTTGGGACAGCTCATTCAGGATCTTTAGGTTTGTGCCTGTACTGCCGTGATATCATTTGAATTATTTTTGCTGTCTCTGGTGTCTTGCCCTCTTAGTTCAAATCCACTTCCACATTAATTTTCTTAAAGGATAGTTGGGTTAACCACTCCTCTGTTTTAGTTTTTTCTGGCTGAAGTTCAAGAGCAGCTTTGGATTTAAAATTGTTTAGACTCTGCATGAACCTTCCAGCTCTTGCAGGCTTTCTCAGATGGAAGTGATAGCTCGCTTCTTCCCGATCCCAGTGGTTCTTACTGCTCACTTTCGCTTTGTAGGTATGAATTTTTGCCTAGTGTGGAGTGTAACCTATTCTGAACTTCTGTCACTGGGCGTTGGAATGTAGTGGTGCGCTATACAGTCCTGTCTGCTTTAGGAGATTCTAGCCTGCTTGGGAAAGTGGATGTGAAGTAATGACAGTTGGTTATGAATGACAAGTGCAGAGCACTGTTCAGGCGTGTCATGGAGGAACAGTTGCCTAATGTAGAAGGCAGTGACCAGAGGTAGGGAGGGTTTCCCTGAGGAAATGACCAAAGTGAGAGTTCAAGGATAGAGCAGCTAGAAAAAGTGACAGGAAAGGGGCGTTCCAAGCAGAGGGAGTTGGTTTTTGCAGAGGCACTGAGGTCTTTAGTAGTGATTCCTTCGCTTTCTTAAGGGGTATATTCCCAGGAAGTGCTTGGCCTTGTCATCCTGTTCATCTGCCGCTGGCACTCAGGACAATCTTGCAAGTGCTAGGGACTCAGTCAGGGTTTGACTAAACTACCCATTTTGAGAAGCTGACCAAATTTTCTAGCTCTCTCTTTGGGTCACACCCTGGGCACCCCTATCCTTTTCAGTAAGTTTATGCATCTCTCCTGTGTTTTTCAAGCACTGGGTTTGTGACCGTGCTTTGTGTTGCATTGTAGATTGGCAGGACGCTTGCGAAGGTAGCCCATTCTGGTGCCTGCGTGTGCATGGCCCTTCCCTTTCCTTAGCATCCTGCATAATTACTGTGCTGTTATCAGAACCAGGAAATTGATATTGGTATAAATATTTCTGTGTCATTTTGTCACTTGTATGTTGTGTTATCATCTCTTCTGTCAAGATATGGAACTATTTTATTACCGTAATGATCTCCCTCATTCTGTATTTTAATAATGACTCCTGTGTTCCCTTCCCATCACTATTCCTGATGCTTGGAAATCATTCTGTTCATCTCAGCAGTTTTGTCATTTTCTGTAATGTTACATAAATAGAATTGTACAGTCTGTGACTTTTGGGGGTTGGCTTTTGTAAGGCAAAACTTTGTGCTTTTTGGGGGGATCTGAATTGTTAAATGTCTTGTTGGTTTATTATTTGTTACTGTGTAGTATTACCATTCTGTAGCTATACCATGATTTAGTCATTCATTTATTGGACATTTGATTGTTCCTAGTGTTTGACTTTTGTAAGCTGTTGTGAGCAGTTCTGGACAGGTCTTTGTGTGGCAGTAACGTTTCATGTCATTGAGATTAGAGCGCTGGAGTCCAGTTGCAGATCGTGAGGTAAATGTGTGTCTGGTTTTAAGGCGACTGACAAGCTTCTCTGGAGTGACAGTACCACTGTTTCATGACTGTCAGAATTGTATAGGAAATCCAATTTCTTGCCTTGTTACCAGCATTTAACATTATTATGTTTTTATATTAACCACTCTGATAAATGCATAGTGATATCATTGTCTTAATTTGCATTTTTCCTAATGATTTGCAATGTTGGAAATCTTGTAATTGCATATTTGCCTCCCATATATACTCTGGCTGCAATATTTCATGTCATTTTACTCAATTTTATTTTGGAGCTAATCATTTGCTTTTGGTTGTTTATTATTATTATTTTTTAAGACTTTTTGATTTGTTTGAAAGAGAGACAGAAAGAAAGAGAAAGAACTTGCATTCTCTAGGTCACTACCCAAATTGCCACAAAGGTTGGGATTGGGCTAGGTTGAATCCGGGTGCTGTTCCCTGCCACCAGGTCCAGGTCTGCCCTTTGTCAGGGACCAGGCACTTGAGCCATCTTCTCTTGCTTTCCCAGGTGATGGGGAGGGAGCACAGCATCCAGCAGTCAGATCCTCTGGTGGCTCGTGGGGAGGAAGCCTAACGCAGGCCCGGTTGTTGGTTGAGTTTCAGGGACGAGTCCTTCATCACATGGACTCTGTTTTCTCGTAACGTCTTTCAGCTTGTCTTTCATCCTCTTAACCACAGGTTGAAAAATAAACCTTGATCTTGAGCTTCCTCTTCACCCAAAATCTTACTTCATGGGCTTGGTGAAACACCAAAAACTCGACCCATCAAAAAAAAACCCAGTAAATTGAATTTAATAAAAATGTAGTTTTATGGTCTACAGGAGACGTTCTTATGAGGGTTGTTGCATTTTAATTTGGTCACTTTGTAATGGATCAAGAAAGGCAAGGTTAATCAGATGCCTTCATTCACGCTATGTGCTGGTACAGGCGGCTGTAGAACTTGTCTCTGATTCCTGCCAGTACAGTCTCCCCAGTGTCATCGTGCGTGTTTTTGGACAAGGCCTTGTTAGGAGTGGAGAGGGTGCTCCAAGTCTGGCTAGTCCTTGATTTGGTTCTGTTCTTGATAGTTCTCAGCATTTTTGTTGACCTTGCCTGCGTCTCTGAGCATGGGAAGTAATAGTAACTAGAAAAAACTTTGTGAAGTTCAACCCGACCGTACTGTCAGCATCACTCTGCCTGCCGTTGGTTTGCAGTTGTAAATATAAATTGAAATCTGTTGAGCATGTTGAAATTCTGACACTGGGCTACAGACACAGTGCGGGGGAGGTGGTCTTCAGCAAGAGTTTGTCGATGTAAGCCCCTCACCTCCAGCAGGAGTTCGTGGATGAAAAACACAGTTGGTGCTCACTTTGTGCTTTCAACATTCTGCTGTCTCTTTAAGAAATCAGACAGCAGGTAGTCAAGGAGTCCGTTAAACCAGAAAGCATCAGAAACACCTTCATGTATAGTTTTCTGATTTTACCTGGGCAGCTAGCCTGTTTCCTTTGTTTTCATTAAACTTTAAAATGCCAGGGAACAGGAATTTCGGTTATTCTCACTTGCATCATTTTGATTTCTGATTTGGTAATTGTGTCAGTGCTGTCTGTCATGTTTTTATCTGGGTAAAGTGTGGTAACTCCTTGATCTTTTTGCTGATTGGAGAATAGCTGCCTCGGTGGAGCGGCGCTCCTGTGTTCTCTGGCGCTGTTTATGGAGGCAAAACCAGCCTGTCTCCCCTTGTCGCTTTGATATGACTCCATCAGAACAAAGAATTCATTTTATTCTTTGGCATATTCATATTTGGGGGGAGTAAGATGATGAGACTGTTGTTTCATATTAAAATTTTTAAAAATGTGAT